TGCTACAAGATTGGGTTGCATCGGCACCTGAACTAGTGATAGGAGTGAAGCAGTTGAGCGTGTTGACCACTTCACTTATCTCGGTAGTCTCATCAGTGCCGATGGCCCGGTGACTGACGAAATCTCAGCTCGGATACAGAAAGCTCGATTGGCTTTTGCCAAACTGCACCACTTATGGCGTAGGCAAGATATCCGTTTGCTATCAAAGGACGAGTCTACTGAGCAGCAGTTCGCTCCGTTCTACCTTATGGCTGTGAAACAAGGCCAGTCAAAGTAGAAGATTTTCGTAGGTTACTGGTTTTCAATCATCGGTGTCTCCAAAGCAATGCTCGTGTCTCCTGGGACAATCCAGTAAGCAATGTTGTTATTAGGAAACGGGTGCTAGGTAAAAAATGGCAGATCAATAGGTGAAGTGCTGAAACTTCGTCAGTTGAGGTGGTTGGAACATGTGTTACGTATGCCTAACCACCGATTGCCTCGTCAAGCTATGCTTTGCGATATAGGAATAGGTTGGACGAAACCTAGGGGTGGCCAAGCCAAAACATGGCTGAAATCCATGAAGTCATTGACAAGTGGACTGAGTCATGTTGTTAGATGTAGGCTACCTGGTTGGGGTCCGCGAGATGATGGTTAGAGACCCTGAACGACATGGCTCAAAACCGTTTGCAATGGCGCAGGTGCATTTACTCTTTGTGTTCTATGAAATTCTAACCTTCTGAATTACTCATCACTTTCTCTTTCTAAATTTACCTCACTGAATCATACTTCTTGATTAACATCTTCGAACCCTAATCTCTCTGATTACTTGTAATACTTTTACTATCTCTATGACTATGGGATTTAAATTGACAATTATGTCTCCGTGCTAATGTGGTATGGCAACTTAAACTGCTGTACTTACGTGCAAAGTTCTACGCTGCTGCTGCTGATGATGATGATGCTGTGGATAGAATTCATTGGAGAATCGTAATCGGTGGCCCATACTCCACGATATGTAGCAGGTGCAACTAAATAACTGTTTATAAAATAAGCACGAAAAAATAGCAGTGTTGTTTTCATCTTTCATCTTTCTTAATAGGAATAAGATCATTCATTACATCAATGCATCTATCATTATAATTTACTGTATTTGAACATTATCTAATGAAAATTACATTCACTATGTTTTTCATGCAAAACATGTATACATATTTTTAGTTATTTCTATCATGATCTGATATATATAATCTAATCTAAACTCTATCAACTCTATTTATTTCCTGAATGTTTTTGCTCGGTTTCTTTCTCACCTTGTAATGTATGTGATAATATCTAATTCAATCTTATCTAATCTGATTCAATTGTGGCTTTTTTTTTCTTTCTAATCAATGTGGCAGACTGTCAAGTTTGACTGACAGATTGAACACAGTTGGAAATGATGCATTACAGATTAGTTGAAGTGTAATCAGTTGAGAATTTTGTGAAAACTATTCATTCAACTAAATAAATATATTTATTCATTTACCCTTTATCATGCTATCTTTCTGTCTAATTCTTTTTGTCTGTATATATATATTTATATATATATATATATATATATATATATATATCAATAGATATGTGACCTGACTAGACGTTGGGAATAATTAATTAATATGCATTGTACATAATTAAAAATGTTGTATCTTATCATTTCTAACTGAACATTTAACAATTCAGTTGTATAATGTTAAGGTATTCATTTTTATTTTTATTTTTTTTGATTTATTCATCAAATATTTCCAAGTGTTTTCATCAAGAAGCATTCTTGTAACTTGTTTTACTTCCTAAAAGTAAGATAATGTCAAGGTTTATAACTGGTGCTTCATAGTGTAGACGATGAATGACAGCGTTACTAATCATAATAAGTCAAAATCAGTTGGCTACAATGAATTCATTGTGTTAGGTAAAATAATAATTAGATTTTATGTGTATTATCATGACATTATACTAAGTAATTGTCAGTCGGTCGTAAAATACACAACGTCAAGTTATCTTAAGTGATTTATTAAATTAAGAGTAGAAATGTATCAGTTATGAGGTGATGATCATATCAGGTCAGGTTTTTTATACTGATTTATAGCATTATTGAGGTGTAAATGTTTAGTGTGAACAATGAGTGTTTATAGCGAAGTATATTGTTTGATTAACAGTTGGCTTATCTCTATATAATGGAGTAAATTATACCTTAGTAATTATATTATCCCTGATTCTTTACTTGTTCAAATTAAATCAACTAATGAAACTCTTATTGTTATTTTTCTACGAAAAAATTGTTGCTATTAACACTATTTTTAAAGAATCCTATAGGTTATTCAACTATGAAAGATATTTCTGGCGAGGCAGTGTGATTAAAATTAACTAGGTGTTGTACTATGAAATTGTGGGATAGTTTGTATTTCCCTTTTTAAAAACCATACATAAAGATGCTAAAGGTTCAGTTTAGAAAGAGCTCATTTTCAAATGGCTGATGTTATATGTTTCAGAATAGTATGTGAAGCTACATAGGAAGAACAATATGAATTTAAGCAGGTATTTATCTTGAACACACGCACACATAAGTCAAAGGCTCCTAGAGGAACATCTTTTTAATTCAATGTTCACGGAATGAGTTTCATTTTAGCTATAAGCGATCATTTATTTTTAGATTTTCGGTTTCAGGTTTTTATTAAGGAATTTATTTTTGGCAGGTATCTGTGATAAGTGTTTCTACAAGTTTAAATAGTTATCCTTCTCTTTATCATCGATGTCTATTAAGGGAAGAAATTGTATAAGCTTTTCCTTCCTGGTCAATAAAGCCATTTACCATCTCTAAATTCTTTCAAATAATAGTAAAACTATTTCTGAAACATTTTCACTAAGTCAATCTCATATAAAATTAGGTATAATGAGCGTGAGAAAATAGCGTTAATCTAGCACGAAAAGAATTAGTTAATAGTTTATCTACGTTCCTTGAAATCTTTAGTTATTACTTAATGTTTGCGACCGATAAAACGTTAACGTATTCTCAGTTCTATGAACACTTAGAGTCTAAAGGGATAAAATATATCCCTAAGTGCTTAATTTCACTGAAATTGATCAAAAATGGCCCTTACTCATATTTCATATGTTATATGTTTGGTAAATTCCAAATTATTCTGTATAAGTGACCATCAAATCACAAACAAATTTATAATCTCAATGTAAGTTTAAAGTATGATGATAATAAGTTATTATTAATTCTTTTAAAATGTTTAGAAGCTCACTGGGTGATTACTATAAGTGCGAATCGATTTAAAAACATTGAAAAAAAATCTATCCAAAATTACTGGATGATATCGGGTAAAGTAGTTCTGATTAATAGTTGACCTATGAAATAAAAAATAAGTGGAATATAAGATTGTTAAATCAAAATATTTTGTAAAACTTCAGTTATTATATTCAAATTATTTTTATCATCAACTGCCCATACAATTTTTAACATGTGTGGCTAAAAACGGTTGTCAAGCCGATTTCCAAAATGTCTCATTTCTTAAAGTTGTCTTATACGCATCATATCATACGTATCATATCTGTTAATAGTCAGCAAGCTGAGCTTTATACTCCGTTCAGGTGTCAGGATGTTTAATCTATTTCATAGTAACAAAATGATCATTTCAAAATACATGATGTCAACAAATCGCCCATATCAAGTGTGGAAGATATTACCACAAAAAACTGCTTTTAAAGGTAGCTGTTAATCTGCAGGAAAGTTTGCTCGAGAATCACCAACACCAGTGAGATGACTTAAAAATATTTCGGAAGTATTTTGAAATGCCTTTCTTTTAAATTCTTATTGATGTAATCTGTAGATCCTACAATGAATTTCGGTGCATTATTTCATTCCTGGCCTGAAATCTTCTGATCGGGCATTTTTTACAGACAACATACATTAGTGGTTCCAATGGAACCAAGAAAGATTAGAAGCTATGAATGCTAATCATAAGAAGCTACTGTACAACAGTTGAGCCATACATGGATGTCAGTGAATTGATCTACGTATAACTAACAATCACTTAGTAAAAATACTTTCAGAAATAATCTAACTAGGCTTCCCCATTTATATTGAAAATCCTAGTACAAATGAGGGTACCTTGAGTTCATCACAAGCACATAATTAATTAATTTGGAATAATTCTTGTAGAGAAAAAAATAATTCGTTGCCCAAATTTGTTAAAATTACACACACTTATACTTGATTTGTTACAATGTTCCATCTCTCACACAATTTTATGTCATTTTGGAAAAAACTACCCAAGATTATTGTTGAAATAGATTATAATTTGTCTTTATAACAGTTTGCCTAAAGCGTCCGGAAAGTTGAAATTTATTTGATGAACCTGTGATAAAAAAATTTTCAGTCATTGATTGCATCTGAGTTCTGTGATTACTCCATACAAATGTATATGTAAGAGTATGATATAATCGATAAACGAATTATCCTGTTTATCCGAAATTGATATCCATGTTAAAACTATTTGAATCATTTCGGTTTATACGAAATATATCCTTTAAAGATTTGTCACTGTAAACACAAAATATCATTGGTCCATGGTGTAAATTCGAAATTTACCGCGTCATTACTAAGGTAACATTTCAAGTGTCAATGTTTACTTAAAATAGCATTTTGTTGTAGAAACGAGTTACAATAAAGTTTTCGATTTCTTGTTTTTCCATTTGCTCCCTTATTTCTTTTCTTAAATACACATTAACGTAGCCTTAAAAAAATGTTTACAATTTTTTTAACTGTAAAACAATATAATCTGAAAATCGGTAAAACAAATCAAGAGTTCATTAAAAATTATTTGTATTTATTGATTATTGAATAAGTAATATTCATCAGTTTGGTTTGTTTGTCTGAGGGGGGGGGGGAAAGGCATGAATAAAACAAAGTAGTCAGCTAACAAGAACTCACTAATATCATACTTGTACTTATTTTTATGTTTTGATTGAATCATTTTTCACTAAATAAATATTTTATTCTCAATGGAATTTGATTCATCATAGAAATTCGACATTGGTTTATTCACTAACCAGTTGGATTCTTTAAATTCTGTGGAAAAATTCCATTTTAAATTTGGTTTTAAATTTTCATTCTTATGATCAGCATTGTTATTATTATTAGGATTAGGATTAATACTACAACTATTCGTCATACTAGCAGTAGTAGTTGTATTGGTAGTAGAAGCAGTTGTGCCTTCTTGATTGATTGTATTATTCATAAGTTGATGATTGTCTGTGCAATGATGATGAATATTATTATTATTATTATTATTTAAATATGGGGAATTGGTTGATTCTGTTGAATTCCAAGGTGTACGATTATCTTTAATAGGAGTAGTCGTGGTACTAGTCGTTATTGGTGTTGTTGTCGCTGTTTCACTGGAGTCATTTACATCATTCTTAGTTAAATTAGTCTGACTATTAAGTGATTGATTGTTATAATCTCTATGTCCAGGTGTTGGATAACAGTTGAAATCAATTTGACTGTCATTTTTAGTGTTATTCTGAATATTCAACGACCAACCAATACTAGTCGATGGTGATGAAGTATACTTTCTTTGTTGATCTAATGGGGGGATATCATGAATGGAAAGAGGATGTTTTACTGCAAAACGCTTGTTATCTACGGTAGACTGCCATCGTTCATTCATGAAATTAGAATTGGCTTCAGATAAACTGTGCTGTTGTTGTTGTTGTTGGGATTGATGATGCTGGCTCAGTTCGTCATTATGTTGAATATATCCAAATTTATTAATAAATGGTAAAGAGAAATCAGTATTTGTATTTGATGATTTACGAAATATGTTAAATTCATCTTTAAATAAATGTTTATTCTCAAATTTCTCATGATTCATTGAATTTGTAGGTGTCATTATATCCGATTCATGAGATGGTTTTCTATTCATTTCATTATAATTTATACTAGATTTTGCTAATTTATTCAATGTTAAAGATAAATACGGATGGGATTCATAAAAATGTTTCGATTGATGCATTAAACTCGTTTCATAATCACTTGAATTTACTGCATTCAATGAATTTTGTTGATCTAATCTGCCTCCAATAGATCGACTGATAACAGCGCTAGAGTTAGGAATAAATGCAGCTGAATTAGAAGATCCTGAGAATAAATTAGTGTAATGATTAGTATTCCCATTGTTCAAATGTCTATTCAATTGATTTTGTGTTGTAGTTAAATTACCACCAGCATCCAGATTAGTACCAGCTGTAACAGCTGCAGCCATAGCGCATGCAGCTGCTGCGGCAGCAAATACCGCTGTCGATGTTGTTGAATTATTATTGGCGGTAGATAAATCATTTTGTTCTTGGAAAGATAAATGTAAGCCTAAATCAGTTGATCCATTTGTTATACTACTGCTATTGCTACCTAAACGTTCACGTTTACGCCATTTAGCTCGTCTATTTTGAAACCAAACTTGTACACGAGCTTCAGTTAATCCAGTTCTTAAAGCTAATTGTTCACGAGCATAAACATCAGGATAATGAGTTTTCTACAAAAAAAATAATTTTTTTAAAAAAACACACAACTTTTTTAAAATTGAAGATTACACTTACAAATGCTATACATAGGAAATAAATATATATTGGGAAAATAAATTTTACTTGTATACTGTCAATGCATAACAAGTACCTTGATAAATACTCTAATGGAAATACTGTAGATCTGTAAATCTGTCGAAATCCATTTAAAATGATTGTCGCTTTTGCTCCACTGTTAGACTAGTGATTAATAATCATGAAAGAGGAGTACGTCACGTCAGTATCCTAACAGGAAATGAGGTTACGATGTAGTGTTAACATTTTGTACACGATTAAAAATAGTCTTTTTGATTGTGTTCAGTATAGTACATGACAGATTGCAGACTAAAAATCCATCAACACTTATCTTATTAAGTTTTTGCACTTAATTAATCGAATATTCTTTTAACAGCCTTAAGATAGTCAGGGGTACACTGATAATCTAAACTTCAAGAATGATTATTTGAACGAAATGGGAGTTAGCAGTGGAAATGATCAGGATTCTGGAGCAAACATCCTTCTGAGTCAACTTAAACAATAGTAACTTTAAGAACACACGGTACATATCATTAGGAGAAATAAATGTTGAAAATTATTGAGTTTACGGATTATTGCTAGGTCACTATGAACATTCGAATTCGTTAAAAGGGATAACATTAAAGGACAGTCTATAAAATATATACTGAGTTGCGTCAGGCTATAAATTGCGCGGTTCTTACTGCTAATACAATTAAAACAAAAGGTTGTAAAGAAAAATCATAATTGATTATATATATATATATATATATATATATATATATATATATATGCACTGATTTGTTTACTGTTGTGATTTTCGTTCACATGCATCATCACAACGGTACATGTTTTGAGAAATAGAAGTGAGATGTTACATAAATTTATGTACATCTTATATAGGATAACTGAATGAACGATGGATGATCGAAGAAACTGATATACTATACCACAAAATCACAATACGGTATCTCCTTACAGATATACTGACAGCTGACATAATCGTGTCCAATTCAGGAACTGATTTAATAAAATATCATGAAAAAAACTCAAACAATTCGAATGATTACATACACCACAAGCGATGGACAAATGATTCTTATCATAATCCGCGAGCTATTTAAATGATGCTCCAGAACTTAAAACTGAAGTTTCTGGAAAAAAGTCACATCTTCAACAATCAGGGCTGATCAAAGAATATAGGAGCCTAAGTTGGTTCAAAAAAGGTGCAATTATCTTTGTCAAATGACTAATATCTAATCATTTTCAATTAGATTTATGGAGATTAGTGTTTCCACACATTTGAAATCATCAATCAGTCGTTTTTAGACCACCATTAGAAACCTGGAAACACTAGACGGTCGTTTCGTCCTGGTATGGGACTCATCAGCAGTGCACATCCACGACTCCTGCACCTCGCAAGATTCGAAATCGGAACCTTGGGTATTGTACGCGAACGCTTAACCATTGGACCACTGGGCTGTCATCCAACGGTGTTATTGTCTAACTCTGATTGATTTAGGGATTGTTGCTATCATATTTTTAATTTTCACCCATTAAATAAATAAATAATTAGAGTTTCTCTATGGAGTTCTTAATTTAAGACTGGAATGACAATTGTCTCCCATCATACCACTATACATTTTTTTCGGATTAATTTATTTATGTACATCACTAACCACAGTCCCTTTAAGAGTGGTCTACTCTTTAACATCAAAAAAGTAACATCCGCAGTTTTAATGAGCGAACAATCTCACATTTCCTCTATCTTCGAAAAAATATGGCGTCAATTTAGCGTTAAAGCAATATATTAAATAAAGTAGATTATGATGACAAAATCATGAAAAATAAAAGATAATTGCATATAATAAAAAGAAGCATATGTTTACTGGTAGCGTGAACAGCTATAAATGTCAACAAATGTTTGACCGAATCTATGTTTGGGACCAACACAGTGACATGGATTTTTCCATCAACTACTTCATTGCTGTTGATTGAATGGATGTTAAATTGCCAATTAACTGAATTTACTATTTCGTGAATATGCTGTGTGTACGGTGTGATTTATTGACTACCAGAGTGATTTTTTTGAAATGTCTATATTCTATTGTTAATTGGATAGTAGTTGTTGCAAATTGATTTACTTTGTAAATATAAGTAACAATCACAAAAAAATCTAGGTAATTAAGAAACGTTCATAAAATTATTGTTTCTTTTTATGACTGTGCATTAATGTGTCGGATTTAACAGAATACATTAATAGAATGGACAGTACACTAATGCATTAGTTCAACACTTATTCACTAATTAAACATCAATCCGTCAATGCGTTATTTATATGTTCATGTATGATAGAAGTTGAAAACTAAAACCATACTGCTCAAATGGTTTATAGACATCGAAATCTCCTAATCATTGATCATATTCGCTTTGAAAGCTCAATTGGCTTTTGCCAACTTGCTTCACCTAGGGCACAGGCGAGATATCCGTTTGCTAATCAAAGGAAAGGTGTACTGCGCGGCAGTTCGCTCCGTCCTAATATATGGATGCGAAACATGTCCGTTAAGAGTAGAGGACATTTTAGGTTGCTTGCCTTCGATCATAGGTGTCTTAAAAGCAATCCTCGTATTCACTCATTACATATCAATCTGTCTTTGCATATTATCTATATAATACTTTACTAAAGAATTTACAATATTTATACGTAAGTTTTACTCTGAATAAATATCAGATTGAAGTTGAAAACTGAAACCATACTGTTTAGTTGGTATATATACACTGAAGTGTCTTCGTCACTGAAAATATTCAGCTACTTAAAATGCTCAACTTTGGGTTTTCCTTACTTGTAGCTGTTAATTTTACAGGATGAGGTGCGTGTTCATGAATTTGTTGGGCATCTCCTTCTCAATATTCAATATGGGAGCAATATCTAGCGTTTTAATGCTCATTTAGTGATAGATCGCAGCTTATAAAATTATAGTTTTCACTGTTTTAGAGAGTTAACCTTCGCTTTATTTGCACTTTATACTTGGTAAGTTGAGATTCCTAGTAAAAGTTACACTCTTATTTGCAGCCATGATACAGTAAATGAATAAAAAATTGTTTGAAAATGCTAAATATCGCACTTTTTTGAATAATACGAAAAGATAGTAATCCTCACACTTAATTAATTACTCACTTACGAATTTGAATTCTGATGCATCTTGTTGCTGAACTTTCTTTATAACACAACGCGACAATTGATCATTAGTATGTACTGATTATATTTAGTGATTACGTAACACTTCCGTAGAATTATATAACTGGGATTTGGTAAATATTCAATCATAGTACTATGACATACAGATTTAGTTTCAATGATCTTTTTATGTAAAATTGTAAGTTAACATTCTCTCAAATTCTAATCCTCAGAATACCTCATCATCTGTATCTTTCTATTTTTTTAAGTTATCTCACTGAACTATACTTCTTGAATAAGATCTTCGATCCCTAATCTTCTTTATTACAAGGAGTAATACTTCTACTATCTCTATCACTATGGAATTCGAAATGACAGTTTCATTTCTCTGTGCTAATGTAGTATGGCAACTTGAACTGATCTACTTATGAACGAAGTTCTACGTTGTAACTGACTGACTGACTAACTAACATTTTATTATTCAAGTAGATTACTTTCACTAACAATGAGGCAAATAATTTTTGAAGAAAAATGATAAATCTCCGTAATTAGAATGGTAATTCTCTGTTATCTTACTCTGAGTATTTCCATGTATATTGACAATTTATTAAAATTACAGTAGAGAAAAAAAATAGAAAGGCAATTTTAACAAGTATTCAGCGTATAGAAATGATTTCTATCATATTTTTTTCCCCATAGATATTGATCTTATTCACATGCACACAGTAGAGAAATATAATTCATTTATTATGCAGTATAATAACAGAAAAAGACAAATCTAAACTTACACATGTTGTGCTACACAATCTGTATTTCTTTTAATTAAATTAAATGATTTATAAGAAAATCATTCTGTTAAGTAGTTTTGTGTGCTTATAAATTAATAGTAATCATGAACTTTTTAGAGGTTAACTTCGAAAACGAATACCTTAAAGATGTGATAAGAATATCCGGTTCTTGAATTAGTCAAGTGATTATCACTATAGGCACTGTCGTATCCCGTACACATCAACAAATGTAGGTGAAGACGACTAGTACAGCAGTAACAGGAGTGATTGTGCCAGTAGGTGTCTCAACATACACAGGAGAAAAAGCAACATCATGAAACACAACACAGAAGACATCAGCCAAATCACACTTGATCGAGAAGCTGTGTAAGAGGTGGAAACGTTTAAGTACTTGGACAGCATCAGTGAAAAACAAGGGTGATATGATGCAAGTGAGAAGGAATGGATTAGCAAAACAAGGGAAGCAGTCCCTCGAGTGAATAACATCTGAAACTTAAAACAGCTATCAACCAATATCAAAGTCAGAATTTTCCAATACAAGCATGAAGACAGTTCTATTGTATGAGACTGAAAATCAGAACATTACAAAAATCATCATTCAAATAATTCAAGTATTCCTAAACAGTTGTGTATTCATGATTCAAGCTGACCAGACACCATCAGCAATAACACTTGAAAGAATGAATATCACTTGAAGAAAACCGGAAGGGTTCTGTTGGCAGTTAATAATTCGTAATAAAAATTCATAAAAAAAAGGAAACCTTTAACTTGGGATGATTTATGACAGTTAACACTTTTCATTAAGGTGTCTTGGTGGAACTGCTGCATTATTTGAAGTTTAAAATCACTCTACCTAATTGTACAGTCTAAGATACTATCACTGAACTAATAAATCTATGACGGATTACTGATAGGACAGTGATTAATGGCCGAGTAGTGACTAATGTCATATTTGTTTTGCGATCCACCAACCTCAAACTTCATGATAGTG